CGAGGACGTGGCCCCCTGCCCAGCAGGAAGCACCTGTGAGAGGGTGGGGGGGGGGAGAATGCAGGGAGGGCAGCTCGCAGTATTTGCTTTTCATTTTTTGTTGTTTTTATACCAGGGACATAAAAACCCTGTTGGGCGGGTCAAGGATGCTGACCGTTCAGGTATTTCCACGTTGTGGCGAGTGTGGACCAGGCCAGGGGAGCTGGGGCCGGCCTCTTGCCCTCCCTCCTCCCCTCCCCGCCCTGAAACCTGAGAGGCAGCAGGGCTCGGCTTTGAGGCTCCTCGCCCTGTCCCCACGTCCCGGCTGCCCTCTGCACGTTGCTCACAGCAGTGGGGTGCTCACCCCCGGGATCAGCCCCTGTTGTCATCACCTAAACCAGGGCCACAGGGAGTGTGTCTGGGGAGCTCTGCACACGTGACAGGTCTGGGGCCGATGGCAGCGGACAAATATCCCATTTCATTAAACGCGGTGTAAGAAATTGGGAGATCTCAGACACACGCAGAAGGGGGCCGGGCCCAACGGACTTGGTGTGGCCATTGCCACACTTGGCTCATTCATCCACCCCAACCCCAGACGACGGAGAAGCAGATCCCAGGGGCGATAGAGATAAAATTGCATTTATTAATATTTTAGTGTATCACTAAAAGATACATATTTTGAGAAATAACCACAACATCATATATAATACCTAAAAAATATTCATGAGGTAACAGCTGTAACAGCGCGGTGGTGGGCAGGATGAGGAAGGGAGGAGGGGTGACGTACCCGGCCCCCCTCGGATTGCGCGTTTGTTAATAGACAACACTTCGGTTTCCTGAGACAGCGTATTTTTGGTAACAGCTTCTGTGAGATGTAATTCACGCCCCACACAATCCACCCATCTGAAGTGCAAACTTCATTGGTTCTTAGCATAGTCACAACCGTCCCCACCATGCATCTTGGAACATTTTCATAACCCTAAAAAGAACTCCCGCTGCTTTGCTGTCGCCTCCCAATCTTCCTGACTGCCCCCAGCCCCTGGCAGCCGCCAGTCCACTTTGCATCTGTGTAGACGTGTCTGTTCAGGATGTTTCGGGTAAATGGCATCGTACGATGTGCGGCCTTTGGTGTCTGACCCCTCTCACTCAGTGGCACGTCTTCAAGGTACATCCACATTGTAGCAGGTGTTGGTCCTTGGTGTCCCTTTTTATGGCTGAATAACATTCCGTGTGTGGGTAGACCACATTTCGTTTATCCATTCATCAGTGGAAGGACATAGTGCCACCTTTTGGCTATTATGAGTAACATTGCTGTGGACATCTGGGTGCAAGTTTTTGTGTGGATACGTGTTTCGCTTCTCCTGGGTAGATACCTAGGAGTGGAATTGCCGGGTCCTGTGCTAACTCTGTGTTTAACCTTTCGAGAAACTGCCGGACGTTTGCCAGCGTGGCTGCACCATTTTACATTCCCACGGGCCATGCATGAGAATTTGGATTTTTCCACATCCTCACCAACACTTGCTGTCTTGCATCTTTTTGATTCTAGCCTTCGACTGGGTGCGAAGTGGTGTTTTACGAGGATTTAGATTTGCACTCCCCGATGGGCACAGGAGGCTGTATTATAACTACAGTGCCTCCCCATCCTTGGGGCATGTGTTCCAAGACCCCCGTGGATGCCTGAAACCTCGGATACCACTGCACCCTATACAGTCAGCTCTCCATATGCGTGGGCTCCACGTCTGCAGATTCAGCCAACCAAGCATTGAGAATATTTTGGGGAAAAAAATGCTACAAAAAATAACAATACAACAATAAAAATAATGCAGATTTAAATCTACAGTATAACTATTTGCATAGTGTTTACATTGTATTAGGTATTATAAGTCATCTAGGGGTGACTTAAAGTGTAGGGGGGATGTGCATAGGTTATATGCAAATATTAGTACTGTGCCATTTCATATAAGGGACCTGAGCATCTGTGGATGTTGGCATCCTTGGGTCCCGGCACTCATCCCCGTCGGATCCAGAGAGATGACTGTATATGCTGCTGTTTCCTGTGTGGTAACAGGCGAGTGTCAGGTACAGCGTGGATACTCTGGGCAAAGGGATGATTCCTTCCCAGGTGGAGGGGAGCAGGACAGTGCGAGATGTCATCATGCTGCTCAGAATGGTGTGCAATTTTAAATTGACAAATTGTTTATTTCTGGAATTTCCCGTTTAGTATTTTCAGACTTTAGCTGACCGTGAGTAACTGCGACAGCAGAAAGCAAAACCATGGACTGGGGTGGGGGGGCTACTGTATAAATGCTTTTAAGCATCAGGCTGCAGATACTAGGATTGAGGGTGGGATTTTCACCCATTAGATTTGCACAGGGAGCTTCTCAGCCCCTTGTTGTCCATTCACTAATTACTGCCTCTGCCTCTAAGAGGGAGCGGCTGGTTCAGGACAGCCCGTCTATGCTACTGCAATCAACTAGAAAAACAAATTGTCCATTTTAGGGGCATTTAGCACTCTTGGGTTTACTCTGAACCAGCCAAAAGAAGCAAATCGTTTGTTAAATTCAGGTAGCTCTGCCAACGGCGTTTTCTCCTGGGAAGGATGCTGTACGTATTCCCAGCGTGTCTGACTCCCTAGCAGAGGGGAGATTTCTGAGCAAACATTGGATGCATACTTTTGGATAGAGTTGGCTGCAAACACTGTGTTTAATCTTCTGCCATTAATCCCCTCATGCTCTCTATAAAGCCCCTGGAACCTAGTACATCACTGAAAGGCGAAGGGTAGCCGTCACGTCATTTTATTTGCCACGATGCCCGCTGTGCGGTACGCTCGTCTGTGACACCTGCCGCACGTTTACTGCGAAGGCTTTAATTGGGGGGGGGGCTTAAGAGTTAACCGTGAGACAGGGGCAGGCTTAGAGCTGCCGGGACAGCTTTTCTAAGCAGTGGATTCAGAGCTGTTTGCTTTGTCCTCTTCAACGGTGTACATTTATCTGTTGCAAGTGTTTGCTTGGCGATTCTGCTGCTTTCGAAAATGGGATCTATTTCTTCAAAATTAGCCAGGCCATGGGAGTTTGCTCCATGCCCACTAAGTAATACGGAAATATTGTCGAACGCTTTGCAAAGTGCCGTAAGCTCAGGTCATAACCTGTGGGAGGTGGGTTTGCTGACTTACTCTTCTTTCAAAGTCATCAGAGCAGAGCTCGGTTCCGGTTTCATGTGCTGACAGTTCCCCGTCTCTTTCCTTCCGCATCTCCACCTGGATGCCCCTGCTGACATTTCTGTGTGGCAGGTCCACGTGTGAATTCTCAGCTTCCACCCCCAGCCTGTCCCCTTCCCTCACTGAGACTTTCCCAGGTCGGTAAGTGGCTCCACTGAGTGAGTGGTTCAGGCCGGAAGCCCGAGGGTCCATTCCATCAGCACGCCCAGCCCCAGGTACCTCTGAAGTGAAGCCTGTCTCCTGCGGGTTGTCCTCCCACCATCACTGTCGCTACCGTGGGCCAGGCCTGTCCACTCTTCTGGAAGCTGCCTCGGCTTCCTCACCCTCATCCACGTTTGATCCAGCATGGTCTTTAGGACAGAACTAGAAGCGGGCGCCCTTCCTTGAAGCCCTTGGATGCCAGCCACTGCCTTGCTCTCCACACCTGGCCCCTTGCCCTTGGCCCTAGCCTGCCAGTCTTGCTCACGGCCCCCGCTGAACCCCTTCCCTGCCTCCACGTCGCCCTGGGCCTAAAGGACTTGTCTGCTCTGCCCTTGGCCGGTCCTTGTCCTGGGCTTCAGCGTCGCCCAGGAGGTCCCCCCGGCACCCCCTCCTCTTCTGCACCCCGAGTGCTGCCCAGGCGTTACTTGTTTGCTTGCTCTTGGCCTCGCCGTCCACGCTGCGGGGGGCAGAGGGGCTGCACCTGCCGGCTGGCGCTTTGGAGGCCGGCGGCAAGTGTTCATTGAGCGGACAGGAGTGCAAGGTGGGTGCTGCTCCAGGGCTGCCCGAGGGATCTCTCTGTATCTCGGCGGGCTGGGGACCAAGCGAGCTTGGCTTCTGTGGTTGGGGCTCTTTGGAACGGTGACACCCACCAGTTTTGACAGGTCCCGCATGTGGCCTTCAGTGGGCATCGAGGGTAAAAACAGGAAAGCCCACAAGTGAGGAGAACACGTGACTTTGGATTTTTATTACGGTTCTTGATAGTTTTTTTCTCTTAGCTTCCTTTGTGTCCAGCGAGTACGGTGTAGGGAGGGATGGAGGTCGCACGCCATGGGGTGGGCAGGAGGGGCCCAAGGCTTGGTGCTCCTAGGTGCGCTGAGCAGGTGCGGCAGAGTCTGCGAAGGGAGACAACTGGAGCCGACAGGACCCGGATGGAGGGGAGACAAGAATATACTGCAGATTTGCCAAAGCAGCTTGTCTTGCTGGGCGGGGAAGCTGGCCCAGGGGAGCTGTGCTTGGGGACGGGGTGAAGTGCTGCCAGCGCTGCTCAGCCCTGGGGTTGCCCAAGGAAGTGTGATCTCAGCCACGGGCTCTGAGGAGGAAACTCGGTCGTCTGGGTGCCCGTTCTAGAGGTTCTGGGCATGTGATTTTCGTGGTCTTTACGGTGCTGTCTGAAACCCTAAAATGGTTTATCAGAACAGCAGGCAAACACCGTCAGGGGCCAAGGTGTGTGGTGCAGGTCTGATGTCCCCACCTGAAGACCAGGGGTCCTGGGCCATTGAGGACTCTCTGGCTGGGGCTTTGGGTTTCCAGGGAGCTGGCGGCAGGAAGGGGATTTGCCTCTGCTGTGCAAGTTGCTAACCTTGCGTCCGCTGGTGTGGCCTGGGACGCTGGCTGGGAGGTTGGTTTTGGGGGGGTGGCCAGGGGGTTGGGGGCTCCTAAGCAGAGGTGGCAACTGTCTGTACCGTGCTGGGCAGGCACGTGGGTGCCAAGTGTGGTGCCGGCATTGGCTCTGTTCATGAAAAGTCAAAACTTAAATCCAGAATGAACAAGCTTCCGTACGAGGGTCCTCCTAGTATCTAGTAACACGCTCTTCACCTTCCAGGTCATCGCTGAAGATGGCAGAGGCTCACCAAGCCGTGGCCTTTCAGTTCACGGTCACTCCGGAAGGCATCGACCTGCAGCTGAGCCATGAAGCCCTTAAGCAAATCTATCTCTCCGGACTTCACTCCTGGAAGAAGAAGTTCATCAGATTCAAGGTTTTCTGACATTTGTTTCAATCTCTACAGTATTGACTTTAACGTGGGTCTCTTGGTGCTATTATGAGGTATAAGTGTGTCAGGCTGGTAATTAATTGGCACATAATTTATAAGGCACCTTCGCATATATTTGGCCGCGGGATCTTGGAGCGGATCCCGCAAGGCAGTGGCGTGAATCGCGCGCTGCGAAACGGGCGGGAAGTTGAGGCTCGGGCCCGGTGGCCGGCTTGGCGGAGGGCGGAGGGAAGACCTGGACCCGTGTCTTCTGCTCTGAGTCAGAATCCTTCACATCCTGTCGGAAAAGGGTTTTCCCAAACTTCAGCAAGTTCACGTCATAACCACCTTGCTGATAAAACAGTCAAACATTGAAAACTATCCACGTGAATTCAAAACCGTTAACTCCGCGTGTTCTCGGTTCCGTGCATCTCTAGAGATTTATTCTTTTTAAGCACGTCTTGTTTTTCATTTACTTTAATTTCATTTTAAACATCCCAGAAGGAATAAATGCGTGTTTGAAAAAATGAAAAATGTTCATCAAGTCAAAAGTGAACCCCCCGCCCCAGGTAGCTGCTGTTGAGTTTGCGGATTCCCCGAAGTCCCTTCTCTGGGGGTGGCTTGGAAGAGAAAGACCCAAGCGCAAGAGCAGGTGGCCGGGTCAGCGGAGAGGCAGGCGAGTCGCCGGGAGCAGCTCAGCTGGCGGGGTCCTGGGCGCAGGCAAATGACCAAGGGAAGGACATGGTCACCTCCAGTGACTCGTCCACTGTCCTTGTCATCCCCTGCAGTGGGGGAGGACGCCACCTGCAGGGGAAGCTGAGTGCTGGGCCTTTTGAATCCAGGAAAATAGAAGCTTGGCCATCATATTCAACCGGTGGAAGTGTTGTTCTTTGATTTTAAAGACCTGGAGAGGAAAGATGAATAGATACAAAAATAGACAATAAACAGTGTGTGCCGCGCCGACCCCCTGGCTTACTAGAGGACGGTCTGATAGCGCGGAGGAAGGGGTCAGCCGGGTTCCGGGGTGTGATCGGTTTTGGAAGGACTGGGGAGGCCACAGTGAATGGGAGACAATGTATCTAGAACCTCTTTCCTTCCCTTTTATTTACTTATCTATTTAATTGTAATTAATTCATTTATTTTAAAAGAAAATTTTTTGCTTTGAGAACATCTTTCGGGGATTGCATTCAGTGGGGCTGACACGTGGGGGTGCACATATCCTGCCAGAGAATTCAGAGAAAGCTTTGAGAGTTTCTAAGTCTGTTATCTTGGTCAAATCAGCATCTTATTGGGATGGCTTTAGTAAGGGCTTGTTTTTTAGGTGGGAGTTTTCAAACACACACAAAAGTGAAGAGAATCAATTAATGATCACCACCACTTGCCTCCTCGTTTCAGCATTTTTGCCAAATTTGTTTCATATGATCCAACCCTGTTCCCTTTTCTTTCTTTTTTTTTTTCTGGAGACGGGGACTAGAGTGCAGTGTTGTCACAGCTGCAGCCTCAAACTCCTGGGCTCAAGCGATCCTCCTGCCTCAGCCCTCTGAGTAGCTGGGATACAGGCATGCGCACCACACCCAGCTAATGTTTTCTATTTGTTTTTTAGTAGAGACGGGGTCTCACTCTTGCTCAGGCTGGTCTCGAACTCCTGGCCTCAAGCAGTCCTCTGGCCTTGGCCTCCCACAGTGCTAGGATTACAGGAGTGAGCTACTGTGCCTGCCCCTTCCCCCCCTTTTTGACTAGGGTATTTTACAGCACATTCTGGATGTGGAGCAAGGTCTCCTGTAAGTAAGTCAGGGTTGTGTCCTGAGGCAGGAGCAGCGGGGAGGGGCGGTTTGGAGCCAGGGTCTGGGGCTTGCTGGATGGTATCTGGCTGGGGAGAGGGCTTCAGGACCTCATGGTGGCTCCGGGACGTCCTTCATCAGTGGGTGTCAAGGGTCAGTCCGGGTGGAGCCCAGGAATCTATATGTTAAACTAGTGCCTTGGGTGACTCTAATATTCTGGGGTCACTCTTGGGGAAACTGTTTCAGGGAGTGTTTGGCTCAGAAATAGAGGACAAAAGTTGGAACAGCTCCAGGCTGTAACCTCTGGGAAGCTTTCCAGCTTATGGGAGCGAGAATTGCCACAAGCTGCAGACACCTTCCTCCTACCACCTGATGTCTCAGCAGCCTGTGGCAGGGGCTGTGTGATGTAGTCACGGCGCGGTTTGCGGCGGAGGACGTGGCTCACAGCTCTGCGTGTCTGTGTTTAGAACGGCATCATCACCGGCGTGTACCCGGCGAGTCCCTCCAGTTGGCTCATCGTGGTGGTGGGCGTGATGTCGACGATGTACGCCAAAATCGACCCCTCCTTAGGAATAATTGCAAAAATCAACCGGACCCTTGACATGACGTAAGTGAGCCTGTGAAATCTCCAGTTGTGGGAAGTTGCCGGTTTTATTGTTGTCTTTTGTTTTTTTGTTTTTGAGACAGGGCCTCGCTCTGTCACCCTGCGGTGGCGTGATCATAGCTCACCGCAGCCTCAAGCCTTGGCCTCAAGCCATCCTCCTGCCTTGGCCTCCAGAGTTTCATTGCTGCTTTTATGTCTGCTTACATGTAGGGACTGTTGCTATTCCGGATCCGATCCGAAGCTTTTGCTGCTATTTTCATGTCACCTTTCTTCCCGTTTCCTGGACTGGTGTTAGGGTCCCCCTGGGGGTTTGTGGTACCTTGTGGTTCCCCCAAAGATGAGGGGCACCCCCGTGAAGGGTGTCGGGGCCCAAGGGGTGGCCAACAGTGGCAGTGCACTTAGCTTGGCCAGCAGGCTCCTCAAAAGGAATTTCTGCTCAAAGGGCTGATTGCCATTGTGGTCATTCCTTTGCACGTGGAGTCCGTCCAACC